AGGCGCAGAAAATGGCTTGCCGGCAAAGGCTTGGGCGGTTGGACAAATGGCGCGTTGTTGCGGGGGGAACGTTTGTGACGGATGTTTAGCCCGGATGTTTGCCAGCGATGCAGAAGGTGCCCCTGCTTTTGAATGAAGAAGACGAAGCCGAAAAGCTCCTGCGCGATGCTAGGGATGCACAAGGGATTGCTGCCTCCAAGGAAATTGTGCCATTCTTCCAAAAGGAGCTGCCAAGAGATTCCTTGTTGAAGATTCAGGGATCAAATGGAATGGATGCAACCTCGGGTCTATCGGGAGGATTACCCTGAAGCTCCTTGGCGCCACTGAGAAAACAACTCACAGCAGGATCACCTGTAACAAGGCAGCAACTTCGGCAGTGCTTCGCAACGTTGCAGCATGAAAAGGAAGCTGCCCTTTTGAAGGCAAATCCTGCATTCACCCCGGTGAGCAGTTTGCTGCATTTGGAGCCTCGCAGCGAAAAATGATGGCGATTGTATGCAGTCATGTCGCAAGATCTTGTCCTTGGCAAGAACACCAATTGGCCCATTGGCCTTAGTGCTAGGTTCGCCGTGTATAGCGCAGGTCTGTGTGGAGCTACGGACGCTTATGCGCACCAATACACGCAGGCAACGCACCCCTTGTCTATGTGGTGTTTCCAAGAAAATGAAAAATAGATCTATTATATTTCTGTATACATACATACACATATAGCATACACACACACTTATATACATAATCATAAGTAAATTAGCATACTTTTTGGGGGTAAGCGGTGTAGCCGCCTCGTCGCGGGCCAATTCGTTTCACAAGGCCGTTCGCAGCCCCTTCAGCACTCCGCAGCCGGACGCGGACACGGACTCGGAGGCGGGGTCATTCAGAGTTGACCTTTATTTGGGGGGTTGACAATGTTTGGCTGTGTGTGTGTGTTTTTTTGGGAGGGTTGTTGCTATCTAGCTGTTGGAAGGGAGGCGTTACGGAGCTGTCTGGGACGGTATCCGAATGTGACGAGCTGAGCAGACAGCCTCTCGGAGCCACCCGGCCGATCGGAGTTTGTGCTCGGTTGGGTGAACATCCTAAGCCAAGCCGCAGGTTGAGGAATTCGCGGCGCGAGTGAAGAGGTGTGGCGTAGTGAGGTACTTGTGATGGCTTTTCCGGGGGTTATCCAAGCCTGATGCCATGATTTGTTTCTTTTACTTGTGGGTGACAATCAAATACGGATAAAATGATGGGGCTCGTTGCTTGCAAGGGGGCTGCAAGGGGCTTACAAGGAGTTTCATGTTGCTTGAAGGGGGGCGGGGGGGGTTACTTGAGGGGGGTCCAAGGATGTAGGCCAAATTACGGGGCCACTGCGAACTTTGACATGAGGGTAAAACCGGATAGTTCCAAGCCGTTCCTGCATGTGGAGTATCCTTTTTGTGTTTGTTGAAAGGGGAGGAACTCTAACTTTGAGACAAGCCCACAGAATGATAAACTGCTCGAGGGCAGGTTGAATTGGTAATCGGTTTTCTTGGATTCCTTTTCGCGGGCGCCAATTTTCCGCTCTTTTGAGAGAGTTGCTGCAGATTTCGCTCCGTTCCCAGCCAGAGGCGTCAAGCTGGGCGTAGACATTCCCGGCGTATCCCTTGCTAGAAAATTAGCTAGGTCCCCCAGTAGTGCCCTTTTACCCTTTAGTAGGGGGAGGGTTCCCCTACTAAGGTAGACTACAGGAAAAAGGGTTCCCTTATTCTAACCTCTCTGCTGAAGGACCTAGCTAACCTTTACAAAGGCTCAGCTCGCCTTTGTCTCACTCCCTGGATGTTATACTTGGGGGTATCACTTTTGGATAATAAAACACGAACTGTTCGACTTGGTTTGGCCAATCCTCTCAGGAAGTAGGAAGTGAGTTGTTGAACTCTTGGGTTTCCAATTTTGGGAAACCCATCATGTCTTTTTCACCCAGCAAAACAGTGGCCACTTTTTGCGTAAGTTTGGCCCAGACTTTTCACTGATTCGGGGGTGAAACAGGCAACCACCCGTGCTGTTCAACTCGTTTTGCAGGGTTCGGTGGACCTGGAGTCTCCAACACCCTGTTGAATAATAATATGGGGGCCACTACCCAAAAGAAAGGGGCAATGGCTTCATTGTTTCTTGGTGGCTCCCGGCCATCCCCTTAGCCTTTTAGCCTTTGAGTGTTGAGTGGTAGTTTCCATTGAATAGCACTTGGGGGCATTCCTTGCACCAATTCGTCTGACCAACCCTTCGTGGTTCGTGGTGACTTCACTACTGGCCACGTAACGAGCCACCATGCGGGGGGGCGCTGACAACGGGCAGCCCAGGTCTAAAGGTCCTGGAAGTTGCAAGCTAGCGAAAGGGACACGAGAGGGGAGGAAGAGTCGGAATCCAAGTGAAGGACGGCAGGGAGAACCCACCACCGGGCCCCCCTTGAGAGGAAGTTGGCCTTATAAACCTTCACGGTTCTTGGCAGGTTTTTTGTGTTTGGCTTCTGTTCATTTTCAGTGGCCGCAAAAGAACAAGCCTTTTTTGCTGCCACTCGAAGGGTGGGAAAGAGACCTTGTTTCCAGGGGACGCTTCCCCATTCTTTCCAGGGATCCTTGTTTCCAGAAAACCATCAGAACCCCAGGGGAAACAGGTTTTTAACAAGAACGATGGTTGAAAAGAATGGACAAGGAATCAACCCCAAAAAAATAATAATAATTCAATATCAAATAATCGTTAAACTTGTTACATATTTGTTAAGGCAAAACAACTATGAAAAACAGTTATAAGTCGGTAAAACAGTGAAGAACAGACATATAAAAATATAGGATGAAAAAAAGGGGGAACACATACTTTTGGAATTATATAATTTAGTTATGATTTTCTTCTTTTCTTTGTTTTATTAATATCTTGAAGCAAAGCAAAAGTTTAGCGTTCACCAGCACCGCACCTAGTAGATTATTGGCAAGCTGGAGTCGAACACAAGAAAGCCAGGGCCGCCATTCACCCCGCGCGCGCGCTTTCCGAACGCTTGCCAGGCGCCGAAAGCTGACATTCCGGCTGTGCCGAAAGCGGCGACGGCGAGCCCGGGGAAGGTGAAACAAAAGGAGCCGCGTTGCGAAATTCAATTTGTTCAAGAACCAGAATCTGGTGAACTGGAGAGCTCACTTTCTGAGAAATCCGTTTCGGACCTTTAGGCGCCTGAGATGAAAGGTGATCACCTATTGGGGCCCCGGACAAACATTGGAACCCAAGAAGGGGACGCTAAAAGGTCAGATCCAGCAAAATAAGCAACCCATTGCTTCTTCAAAGATGTTTCAATCCTGCTGTCCCTCGCTTCCGATCGAGTGGATGGACCCAAGAAAAGTAATCAAGGTTTCTTTACCACAAAGGCAACCAAACCAAACAAAAAGGAACCTAAAGGGTCATTTGGAAGCGAGGTGTTCCTCTTTTCTGAGGGGGGTTTCCCATGGTTTCTCTCTATTTCCGTGAGGCAAGCGGAGGTAAACCCTGAAAGAATCTAGGCGCATGGGTCCCGGTACTTGCTAAGACCTTCCAGTTCGCGAGCGGCCACAAGTGCAGGTGGTCGCCAGCTGTTTTCGTCCCCTGGTCCCGCTTGAGAGTGGAGTTGGGCGGGGGAGTTCGACCCCTAGTCATCTCCATTTGGAGCTGAGCCATTGTCCCTTGCATGGGCAAGACTGGATAAATGGTTGATTGGGGAACCCCCCACCCCCACCCCCCTCCCCCTCCCCTTCAGGTAGGGGAGATGTTCTACTTTGAAATCTTTTTTTAATAACAATTCTGTGGCGCCGATTTGCTGAAGAACCTGGCAGGGTTCAGGGTTCAAGGGACGAGCAAGCGAGCAGGGGGTGACCATTTAGCCACTTAACCAGCAACCGTCCTTTTGTTTAAGAATATCTTTGTTTCCTCCTGTTCGTTTCAAAAGGAATCGATCGCTACTGCAAGTATTGCTTATTATTTTTCCAGGGGGCGCAGAAGCAAATGGAAGCAAAGGAGCGACATGGAGTCCGGAGGTGTCCAATCACCAGCCAAGCGTTTCACAGCGCCAGGAGCGCAAGGGCGCGCGAGAGGCAAGGCACTCCATTGCCGAGTGCTCAGCTTTGGAGAGATCAGTTGCAACATGTCCGGGTGTTTTTTAGTTGCACCTTCCCTGTTTTCAGGTAAGGCGTCAGGTTGGTGCTTTGAATTGGTGGCTTGGAGATCTGAACCCGGTCTTCTTTGTAGAGGGTAGATGGGACCTTGCAATATCCCCCACCGGATCCCTGAACAATTGTTGAGTCTTCATTTGTGGTGAGCCATTTCCCCTTTTTATGGGGAAGGCTAGAAAAATGGTTGGCTGGGAATTTCCGCCCTGGTGGTAGGGGGATGTTGCAACATTTGGGGCGTGGGTTGAACATGCCCTTCTTGGCGTTGTTTCAACAACACTCGTTTTTCTTCTTCGAGGATTCCCTATTTTGACCAGCAGGGTTGGGGATCCAGTTCTGAAATCAGACGATTGAAATATGAATTACCTGAGATGAACACCGAGGATACAGATGGGACAACATAATGGAATTAAGATGATAAAACACATCAACATAAATTTATCTATCAACTAAAGTTAACCAAAAAAAACAAAAACGGTTGCTCTAAAAACATTTGTTCCTCTTCAATCCACTTTGAATATGTTTACTCAGTATCATTACTGTAGCTTATCCCCTTTCCAGAAGGTTAAGCTTCATTTCCAGGTGCCTTGGGTTGAGAGAAAGCTCTTTGCATGAGTTGTTGTTGAATCAAGCTTTCGAAGAATGGTTTGCCCTTCTCGTGGATGGAATGTGATCCAAACTGTAGGGTTTGGCTGGGTGTATCGCGCGGGGGGGGGAGCGTCCCTTAAATCGATTTAGTTCTGGTTGGGAATGGATGAAACATCACATGAGCAACACCCAAACCCCTCATTGGCCATTCTGTAGTTGGTGGTCCTACCACCCCGTCTAGTTCGTTTCTAGAGTAAGGCCTGTTGAAAACTTTGTAAGGTTGGCCAAACCAAAGGTGAATGGGGGCTCCAGGCGCTGCAGTAGTTGTTTTTTTTCTTCTTTTTTTTGCTGGGGGGAGGAGTTTGTTGTGTTTCTTTTTCTTTTCTTCTTTCTTTTTTTATTTTGGGGCGGGGGGAGGGCTGGTTCTGCTCATTCTTCTTCTGCGCGGCTGCTTGCCCCTGATACTTCATTTGCAAGGTGCGGCACACTTTGTCCTTTGTCCTCCTCGATGAGCGCAGACGGGGGTCAACGAGGAGGAGCCTTTCCCTTTGTGGGGGAGCTGTCTGAGTGGCAACCCTGCGGCGGCGACTCTCAGGTTGCTTCAGCAATTCGCGGCGACCGTCCTGCGCCAAAGTCCAGCCTGGCGGAGGATATGAGGCAGTGCAAGCATCACACCAACCTGCGACAAAATGTGTTGCCAGTGCTCGGCAGCTACGTTTGACTTGCCCAAAGGGAATCGAGCTGGGTATGGGTCAAAATTAAACCACCAGGGGACCGCACATTTTAGTCCTGGTTTCCATCTACCAGGGTTTCGTTTTGGGTACTATGTTTGACCCTCACTGTTTTCACTTGTTGGCTTCCCCTTGTCCATGTTTAGACAGGCCCCAATTACGGTGCTCACCTTTTTGCCGGGTCCTGGCAGAGTGCTCCTTGATACATTGAATCGCGGTGTGGGGTGTGGGTTGTTTTGGCATCAGGGAACCAATCCGTAGGGGGCGGGTTCTAATAAACGCGTAGCTTGCACCAAGACAAGGATGCGAGGGCAACCTGTTTTAACTGAGAACCCAAGTTTGGGTTGGGGTCAGTGAAGGGTTAGTTTGGGTGGCTAGAGGTTTGTTGTACGATTGGTGTAGGGGTTAGTTATGGCTTGTGCTAGGACGGGGTCAGACACTCAACGTGGCACACAAGACCAGGACAGATTGTTTCCCTGCATGGGGAATCAATTTTGAGGAAGCCCGCAGTCGTCCACGTCCATGTTGGACAGAGGGTATCCAGCTTGTCCAAGTCTCGCGTCGACCAAGGACCTGAAAACCGACCTGAAAGTGGCCCCGTGGCGACAGGAGCTGCGCCTGATTCCGAGTCAGGGAGCCATCCGCATATGAATCAACCCCAGGTTTTTTTCATAGGGGGGTCCTCCAAAAGTAATGATTCCCCACTAAACCCAGGGATAAGCACCCCCCTGTTAATCAACTGGTGTTGATTAATATGGAACAATATGACTCACTCCGCGAGTTCCGTTTCGGACTTCAGCCACTTCTGGGGTTTGGCCCATTCGGAATCATAGTCTCTTATGGGCCCCCCTCTGAGGCATTGGGTTGCTATGGGGGTTGAAGCGGGCCAGGCTTTGAAGCCCTGTTTGAGGCTTGTTCCTCTTCCATGGAAACTGGAGGGAACCACAAATGGTTTTGGCCTCCATGTTTGGGGCTATTTGGAGGTTGTTTGTTCAAAACAGGTATTCAATATGGAAACCGTGTGTAGGGGCTAAAGCCTGCGGTCCCCTGATGATTCTATTTTGACCCAGAACCCGGGGTCCTTATGCTTTCCTGATTTATGGTTCACACATCACCCTTTGGGCGTGGGTCAAAGAATTATTTTACATCCCCCGCGGGGGATGGAACTTCCCGTCAACATCGACATGGCCCCCCGTGAAACGTTGGACCTGCTTTGATATGACCCTCCTTCAACACTGCCAACTTGCCAACTGTCATTTGCAGCCTCTTGCTGGGTGGGTTGGGGGGATCTGGGTTGCTGTTTGGTTGCGTATTGATTGCATTTGTTCCCGAAATATGTTTGGGGGTGTGAAGCACTACCTTCAAAAATAGAGGGCCCCAAAACAATGAAAACAACCCCCGGAACCTGAACTGGGAACAAACAAGCAACAAGAGGTCCATGCATCAAAGCGGGTCCAGCATGATTGCATGTGGAAAAGTTCTAGTGAGGGATGAACGGGAAGGCCCTTCAATTTATTTGGCCGTGCGCCTTTAGCCCTGGAACACCCAGTTGGGCTTCTTGCCAAAAGTCAACTTTAGGTGGGTGGCCAAAGTCTGGCCACGGCAAAACACACAATTCTGGCTCTAGCCCAAGCGGGACATCTCGGCGAGCGCCTTTTTTTCGCCAGGACTGCTGCTGGCGCTTGCTGTTGGTTCTGGCGGTGCTTCTGGCGTTCGCGGGCCTGGGGCTTTTCACGCTGCGCTTTGGTAGCAGCCGGCGGGTTGAGGGGTCAACGGAACCTGCACACCCCCCAAACTTGGCAATGCTTCACCGACGAGAAGTCGGGCCACAGGGGGGACTTGTGTGGAAAAGCCAAAGGGAGTTGCTGGGGGCGGGGGGCGGTCCGTGATAGTGCCTGGCCTTGTTTCTTGTACAAATCGTAGAAGCCAGGAACAGGAAATAATGTAGCACCGTAGGACAATTGCCAAAGGGGGGTTGATCAATATTCTTGCAAATGGCGAAGGGTAGCTTTTTCCCAGTAAGTGGGAAGCATCATTTGTTAGTAGTCTAGGTCCCCAAGTAGCCCTTTTGCCCTTTTTGGGGGGAGGGTTCCTCTACCAAAATCAACTGGAGAGAAAAGTTGGCACCCTTATTCCTCTCTACTGGAAAACCTAGTAGTGGTTTTTGACCCAATGGTCATTCCAAATGTCCACCCCATTGGCTTGAAAGTTTGAATCTGGTAGTGCCGTACTGTGGATGGACGAAATCCTGCACCACCTAAGAAACCACGGGAAACCATTGTTTGTTGATAGTTACAGGGGAATCATATTCCAGGGCTTCTTGGGTGGTGCAGGATTTCGTCCATCCCCAGTTTTCCGCTGGGTCTTCCTGCCCGAGCCCAGTGGGGAGTTTCCTACCAAAAACATGATTTTTTGAACTCTCTATGCCAAGAAAACAACGAACCTGCTGGGAACAACTGGATGCCCCCTCTGCAATTTGTGGGTGGACCTCCTTGAAACTGCCATGTGAGGAAAATTGCGGGACACCGGACAAAGAGCGCTCCTCATTTCCTTCACTGTTATTGGCATGTGTTTAGGTTTTTTGTTTGTGTGTGTTTTGGTTCTTTTCATAGATTTAGTGCGGGTTACTAAAAACAATGTTTTTTTTCCAATTGGGCCAGCCTTGGACCCAGAAAGTCGGACCCAGCTGATATGGCTTCCCCACGTCATCAACCCCCAGTATCGTGGAGGGTTGTAAAGCTTCGTCACGTGCCGCTGCTGAGGCACCTCTGGCAGCGGCGCCTCTTGGACGAGGATCGTGGGGCGCGTTTTTCTCGCCGCGGCCGCGGCAGTGGCTTGCCATCGACCTTTTGACCTTTTAGTGTTCTCTTCTTTGTCATTTGTTAGTCATGGCCCCAAAGATTGACCTTTAATTTTAGATTCCTTTTGGGCAACTGAGAAATGAGAATGCGTTGTCTGTTTTGCCACAAAGCAACGAGCAAAGCAACAATCGATTTGGAGGTTTCCACACACCAGCCAGGCACTCAAAAGTTGGTTTTTGGGAGCCCGGGATCAACAAACCCATAACACCAATAGGATTCATCCACAAAAGTCATCCGAATTGCCACCAACAGGGGGCAGCCTCCCATGAATCAACATTTAATCCGGAGTTAAACATTATGCCTCAGGAAGTGCAAAGGAGATGATCATATGTGGCCAATTATGCGCAATTGTCCACACAATCTCCTGCAGCTGACATCTATGATTTGCAGGTTTACCCTCCCACTGTGCACATTGCCCTGGAACCCCGCCAGGAGGTCCTTTCAAGAGGGAACCGCCGTCAGGTTCTCTTTCAAGCGACGAATAGAGCTTCTTGTGGATAGATGTCCAGTCAAGGCGCCGGTTAGTATAGGCTGGTGAATGCTTTAAGGCAGCTGCCAAGGGCTCAGTTTGGACATGCGCTGCTTTTCCTTTTGCTTTGTCTTCTTATTTTTGTTGCTCGACTTTCCACATTTTTCAAGTTGAGCCACCCCAAAGCAAGCAGAAAAAAACACTTTTGCACATTTTTCAAGTTGAGCCACCCCAAAGCAAGCAGAAAAAAACACTTTTGCACATTTTTCAAGTTGAGTCACCCCAAATCTAGCAGAAAAAAAACACTTTTGCACAGTTTCAAGTTACCCAAAGTTAGCTCTAGAAGCCAAAATCTTCAGAACTTCGATGGTGCTCGCGTTTTCTCGGGTTCTGCCACTCTCACTGATGGCTTATCCTGCTCCTGGAAGGCCAGGGCCCAGACGTGAAAAGGGTGGTTCCCAGCGGTCCGTTCCTGGGGGTTTAGGGTTTACTCGGTGGCTCCAAAAGGCCATCCGGTTCCTTATCTTTTCAGCCTTTTAGTGCTTAGTGGTTGTTTGTTTTCCATTTTGCTCACTAAAAGTTAGTCACTTTTAGCGGGGAATCTGAGGACAGCTCAGTTTAGTGGTAGTTTCCATTTAATCCAAAAGTGTAACTTTTAGCAGAGGGTCTGAGGACAGCCCAGTTTTTGGAACCTCCAAAAGTGGCGATCAGCTCAAGGGATGATCAACTTTTGATTTGGGGAAATCCAGTGACCCCTGCCGGGTACAAACCCTGGTAGACGAAGGCTAGTAAGGGGACAGTCCCAACCAGGAATAGATGCAACAGCCCTCTTGATTCTTTCTATGTTTTGGGTCACCTTCTTCCCCTTCTGTTTGGTGCGCTTTTGTGGTGAATGCCAAACAAGGCCCCCTTTTTCTCCAGGGCCACTCGGCAAAATGTGTCCAGCCTTAATTATTTTCACAAACTCAAGGGGCAAAGCCACCCACGAAATCATGAAACTTGTTCCTTCCACCCCCCCCCTTGCAGATTGCCCTCAGCGATTAACGAGGGACGGTGGATGCCAACTCAATATGGTAAGTAGGGAACAAAGGAACCAAGCGTAACTGTTCAGCCGTACGCTTTGTGGTTGATTTGCCTGTAATTTTAATCATGTTGTGTGGTTGGCCTGTAGCTTCGGCCGCGCGGTGTCTGGTTGGTTTACTTGCACTACTGCGGATGGACAACATCCTGCGCCACGTTGAAAGTTGAAACCATCAGATACCGTTGTTTGTTGGTCATTCCAGGGTTCCTTAGGTGGCGCGAAATGAAATTCGCAACCATCCACAGTATTCTAGGGCTAATTTCCCCATTCTTTCCAGGGATGCTTCTTTCTAGAACACCACCAATATCTTGGGAAATGGCTGGTTTTTGAAAGTACGATGGCTTAAAAGAATGGGGAACCAACCCCTAGAAAGCAAGCACATGATGCACATGTCCCTCTCACCATGATCCGGTGAGGGATTGGGATGTTCTCTGGGAGTACAGATCCGGTTTTTGAAAAGAACGATGTCTGAAAAGAATGGAAACGGAATCAACCCCTAGAAGTATGGCAGACGGCATCGGCATCCGAACTACGCGCGCCAGGAGCTGGTCCGGCGGCAAAGCAGCCAGGCGACAAAAAAGGGATCGAGGGCTTGGCGTGGTTTAACCGGAGTGTCGCCTAAGCCAAAGAGACGGTCTCACCGCGGGTGGCTTACTCGACTTTTTGTTCATAGTTGTTCTCCTTTGAAATCAACGGCCGAAAAAGACAGCTGCTCAGCTTTAGAGACAAATAGATACCGGAACAAAGGTGCCTTTTTTCAACTATGAACAAGGAGAGTGCCCCCTTTTTCCCATTTGTCACTGGCTGCCCTGTTTTCGACACGGCTGTGGGAGCCTTTTTTTCGTTTGCCCCAGAGAGTCTCGCGCCCTTTTCTTTTTTTTTATCCTTTTTTTTAGGTGGCTATGCCTATGTCTGCCAGGCACCCGCGAAAGAGGGGGCCTTCTTGTTTGAACTCTTGGCTTCAATTCGAAACTCAGCCAAAGACCCGCTTGTTCAGGGTCCTGGAAGATCAAGGATGTGGTTTGAGTGAGCATTGACCCCAAAAACGGCCCTCTCTTTTAACCAGGCCCACTGATTTACTTGGGGTTTTCAGAGGCGAGCTCTTGTTTGGGCCTGTTTGGAACTCCCGTTGCAAATGAACCATCCACCAATCAGCGCCGGGGGGGGGCTTAGATATTTGAGATTTTCCCCAACCAACTGCAAGCAGTGTTGTTTTTCAACCGTTTGCTGTTCAACACGTTCCTTACCTGGAACCTGGAACAGCAAAATGCAAATGGGGTTTCCCACCATTTGTGAATGGTCGTTGCAGGTTCTAGGTATGTTGGAAGAAACAAGCGCTTGCCAAAGTTCTTCAATCAGGAGGCTTCTCAGAAGGCTCCTGAAGGCGCCTCTGGAATTTTGCCACTGAACCTTCCTCCCTCCCTGCGTCCTGCAAAATCAAGGACGCCCACTTCCGACCTAGGGCCGGGCCCCAGGCCCCTCAACTTCCAACTTGTTTGGACCTCCAGACTTCCCCAGAATTAGTTCCCCTTTTTACTTTTTTGCTTTTTTGGTGTTCCCTTTGTTTTCCACTAACCAGGCAAAAAAGATATTTTTTGCCGGGGTCCTAATTCCAGCCAAGCAGAAGTGGCGAAATGTTATTGGAACCACGCTGAAACTTCCGACCTTTCGACCCCCCAGCCTGGGCCTTTCTTCTTCTTCCGCGGTTTTCGGGATCAAAGTTCGCTCATTTCCGTGGTGAATGTCTGAGAAGGCAACTGGGTCCAGGCTTTTCGTTCGGTTTGGGCCATTTGTTTAAGACTATTTGCTATGTTCCCCTGTTGGTTTTAAAGGGAATCGATCACCGCTGGACAGAGTTGCTCATTTTTGTCCAGGGGGCGAGGAAGCAAATGGACGCTTTGGTTCAGAAAGGCTCGGCCACTGAGAACTGGGCCACAGGTGCAGCAGCTCCAATCCGAGCTCAAGGAGGCTCAGACGGAGACCGCGCAGCTCCTCGGCGCGACGTGTTTGTTTTTTCTTTCTTTTTCTAGGGGTAGCTTCCAATTCCATTCTGAACCCGGGGATCCGAATCTTCTCAGGAAACCAAAAACCCAGGGCAAGAACTGTTTTTGGAAAAGAACGCTGGTTGAAAAGAAAAGACGGGGGGGAGGAGGGGGGGGAGGGCCGGGAGGGGAGGAGGGGGGGGTGGGTGTTGCCTTGGGCGGAACCTTTTTCTTTTTCTGAATTTGCGTGAGATACAGGGGATGAGAAATATACCATCCAACTGGTAGTTTCCATGAAGGTTCAATCCCTCATGCCCTACCTATCGCGCCAGCACGTTTTTTTGGGATTGGCAGCCATTTTAGTGGCTTAGACAAAAGTTTGGTTACTTTTGTTTAGCTGGTCCAGGTGAGTTTTGGGGGTGGTTTACCGGGCAACCACAAGGAAATCCTGCCAATTCGTTTGAGGTCCCCCCCCCAGTTTGACGCACACGTGGTTGGCAAACTTGTTACTTTACTTGTTTTGTGGGTGACAGTTCTTTTAAAATGGGCTAGGACGCCGCACCAGCGAGAGCATCGGCGCACGCGACCGGACCCCGGTTATCACCAGAACCCGTTTAGGGCCCCCTGATTTTTGGGCAGGTTCCTCATCATGTCAGATCAAGGCCCAACAAGTGGGCCAGTCAACTCAGCTGGTCAGCTCCATTGCAAGCACAGCGAATCGACTTTTCATCTGATCAGACCTTTCAGGGAAACCCTGATGTTGCAAATTTCCCTGAGCCTTGTCCGAGTCCCAACAAGTGATCGCCTCCGATTCCTAGGCCCGACCCGGACAAGGGAGAAGTCTTTCAGCCACCAGCTTAAACTCACACGCTGATTGTATAGACCTACCTGGGTGCGGCTTCTTTCGATATCGCTTTACTTGTAGTCCAGCAATGGATGAACGTGAGCCTGATTTGTTTTGCCATGTGCTTTTGGATCCACAAGGGCTGTCCATCTCTGACATTTGCTCCAGATCCGGAGCATTGCGGCTGTTCAGAACATTCCTCGGCTTTGGGTTGAACATTGACCAAGATAATACAGGCCATGGTCAAGGTTTGAACGTAGCCCAAGAGAAGGGCCTAGGGACTGAGACTGGTAGTGTTCTCAAATTTAGCCACATCCCAATACCGAAACTCATGTAGGCGATTTCCCAGGGTGTGTCTCACAAAAAAAAAAAACTCCCCCCACACGCTTTTAAGCATTTTTATTTTATTTTTTGTGACCCCTTGAAGTCAACCAATCCAAACAAGACGAGGCGGCCTCAAAAAGGAACTGCCCCGACCCACTGAAGAAAGAAACAAAAACCACGAGGCGCCCAGATCCGGCGACAAGCGGTGAAACCGAAGGACGAAACCGAGCGGTTCGATGCGAGGCTGCAGGTCCAAACCTCCGAGCTGCGGGGCCTGCAGAAGACCTACCACGCAGAGAAGGAGGATGCCGAGCAAAAGGCGACACCCACGGTGCGGCGATTTGTTTTTCGGATTTTTTTGGATTTTTGGTGGGGCCGCGTGGCGAAACCCACGCGCGATTCGATATGTTTTGGGATTTTTGGTGGGGGTGTCTCATTACTTGGGTTCCGGAAACGGGGACTGGGTGGGGTTGTCTCTTGGGTTTGAAGGAGTTTTTGTTGGGTGCTCGATTTGGGACTGGTGGGCTTGGCTACTAGGCTTTGAAGGAGTTTTTTTGGGGACACCTCCCACCCCTCACATGGCACACCCACTTCGCCCGGGCGAACTGAAGCAGCCCAGCTCATGTGTCGGGCTGAGTGGTTTTTGTGTCCCGGCGCCTTTGTCCAGGCGCCCCTTTTTGGTTGGCTCAAGGAAGCCGAAGAACACCCCACACTTCGGGGGTCGCCATTTTTGTGCCTCATCCATGTTACCCCGTTTTTTTTTTTTTTTTTGGTCAGGGCTCCTCAAAAGATACATCTTGCAACCATTTGAAACATGGCTTTTTCCGCCGAGATGAAGGGGCACGACTATTTACAAGGCAATGTTCAGGTGTACAATGTAAGGATCCCTGTTGGTGGGCTCGGGATCCTCTGAGACCAAAGAACTGGTTTGAAATTGGCCATGCCGCATGCCGAGCCACTCACGAGGTGATTTCAAGAAACCCGGCCGGGCGAGCGAAGAGCGGTCCTTTTGGCACCAACAAGACCGTCTTTGGAGGGTACGCGTGTGTCCCGGAGTTAACGTCTCAGTTCAGCACCCTCCACCTCCCGAGAGAGAGCAATTTCCATCAAACACCCATCGCGGGAGCATTGTGGGCTAGACTCGGTTGCCCAAAGCCTTTTAACCTCTTGGTTTTCCAATTTTGGTCTATCTTTAGTAGAGGTGCCAAAAGGTGATCACCTTTTAGTCCTGGGTCCCTAAGGGGCAACTGAGAAACCCCACGAAACCAACGAAACACCTGAACTGAGCCGTTCCCTGGGGTTGTTAGATCTCGTGGCTTCCCTTGACGGTCACACGGCCGGAGGTCTCGGAAGTGACAGAGGAGTTGGGGGAGGAGACCGCGCAGGTGAAAGATCTCGAGGGCAAGCTGCAGGCGATGGACTTTTCTCTTCGAGCCGGGTGAGGGAGTTTCGGAGTTTCCAAGGGAGCCCAGGGTTCTGGGAGTCGGGGTTGATCCCACCACTTCCGTGATACAAGTTGGAATCTCCTCCTTCGAAAACTTGGTGGCTCCCAGCCATCCGGTTCCTTACCTTTTTTCGCCTTTTAGCGTGAATTGTTTGGATTTGCATGTCACCCACTAAAAGTCAGTCATATTTGGCTGGGGATCTGAAAACGGGACAACCCAGAAAAGGGTGGGGGGGGGGTTCTTTGGGAAGCCCTTTGTGTGCATATTTGTGTCTTCTTGGTGGTTTTGGTACCCAGAGGCCTGTGAATTAAAAATGGCCCTCAAACAGCCAGGTCTTGAGACCCCCAAACACCTTGGGGTCCCTGGGAGGGACCAGACTTGCTTCCAGAAAACCGAGGCCACTTGGAGCTGGCGGTTAGCTCTGAGGGAGTGAGACACGTGCCCCCCAGACTCCGGCGAGATCCTAACGAAGGGCTGCCCAACCCAGGCAATCAACGAGGCTCCCCCCGCGATCGGTGCCCTTTCTCACCGATTCTTTTTTGGTTGGGAGATTCGGTTCCCTGACGAAATAGACCAGGAAAAAAAAGGGGGTACCAACTTATTCTGACCTCTCTACTGGACCTAGTCAAGCATCCAAGCAACCAAGCAAGCAAAGGGCACGTCCCGCCTGGAAATCACAGGGTGCCCTTTGCCGCAACTTTGCCAAAGCCGGCCATGGCCTAGATATTTCATGGGTTGCCAGAGGTAAAGCAGATAGGCTATCTGGCACATTTAAGTAGGGGTATTCCTACATGTCTGTGGCTCTTTATTTGGGGGGGCCGCTTTTGGTGAAGGAAGAACTCCATTTTCTAGGGCCCCACATACCTTTTACCTCGGGTCGTTTGATCTAAGCTGATTTCCACTACCCCCACTATATAGTTACTATATAAAATGTATATTCCTCTGGGGGCAGTGGTTTGGGGGTAGTGAACCCATCTTAGACTTGCCTCTTGACCTTGCCGTTCTTACCCGACCTCGGCCTAAGAAACGTCCGAAACCGGTTTCTGACGGCTGGCTGGAGCTTGTCAGGCCGTCCATGCCACCGCAAGGAAGCTCAGCAGCGCGCCCCTCGCCTTAGCCGAATGGAGAACGGAGCTTCCGGCTCGATCGGCTGTCCTATTCTCACGTGAGCCCAAAGCGAATCGATCTTTTGACCTTTTGGTTGTCCCATTTTGGTCCATTTTTAGTAAAGGTCCCAAAAGGTGATCACCTTCTATTGCCAGGTCTTGTGGGCAAGTGAGTATTGCACATTATTGCACCCTGGGATTGCACACACGGAAGTTGCCAAACATAGGCTTGGTTTGTTTTCCCCGGTGGCTTTTGGAGGCAAGATATGCAAACATACTGTGGATGGACAAAATCCATTTCGCACCACTTTGAAGCATAGTTGAAACCATATTGTTTGTTGGTTTTTACAGGGGAATCATAATTCCAGGGCTTCTTAGGTGGTGCAGGATTTCGTCCACCCACAGTAGGGTTGGTTTGTGTTCCCCGGTTGTTTTTGGAGGTGATCATCATTCCATATTTTTTAGGTAGTGCGGGATTTTCGTCCACAGTACGTTCTCGTTTTCAAGGGGAATCAAGCAACAGGCTGAAATATAGATAAACATGATAAAAGGGGTCCCATTGCTTGGAGGTTCGGCCAAGTTGGTAGGTGCTTAGTAACCTAGCTTATAACCTACATACAACCCGCCCAACTCACTCATGAGTAGGATATATCCTAGGTTGCTAAACACTTACTAACCACCCAAGTAGGGCTAAAGCTGGAAACTCAAGTCCCTCTCAAGGGTTTGGATTGGATTACAGATCCCTAGTTGTTGAGGGTAAATGGGGTTTCCAACCGAAGCACACCCAAGCTCACCAATTAGAGGGAAGCTGAGAAACAGGGGTTGTTCACCTCAAGCTAACAATTGAGGGGTGACTTTGAGAATAAAATAACGGCCTTCAAACTGCTGGGAGAGTCATTTTCAGGAAGCTCCCCCAATTTGCGGCCATGTTTTGTCGTACATGCCACACGGCGACGGGGGACATCGCGGCTCGGAGCTGGGGCAGCGACTCAGTGTGGCAGCAATGATGAGAATAGCGATTTCCGGCGCTATTGCCCGGCCTGCCACCGCTAGGTTGGTAGGCTGGCTGGTCGCTGGCTGGTGGTATTCCTGGGACCCCTTCTCCTTCCAGTGGACCCCAGGGGCTCGGGTGGGGAGGAGAAGGATATAGTGAAGACATCAGGGTCCTCACTCACTTCGGCCTCCGTGCACGCTTGGGCGACTGGGTTGCTGCGCTATGACCGGCGCAGACCTCACCGATCCGGGGGTAAAACGAGCAAGCGCCATGGTAGAACTGGATTCCCCGGTAGTTTCACAAGTTTTCGGTTCGGAAGGATGTCTATTTCTCTTCAAAACCACAATCAACTGGCTGGTTGGTTCCTTTTTAACCCGGGTTTTTACGTGAACGCGACAACCACTAAAACCTGCTTAGTTTCGACCACCCACGCAACCAACTAAAACCACTACAACCAAAAAACCAGACGATCCGCTGGTTCCACAGAACCCCTTTGTCTCTGTGCGCCCTTTTTTCGGTGTGTCTTTTTTGGGTATGAACCTGTTGGGCTTTCTCCAAGAACCTAGGGGAAAGCTAGGGAAAAACCCAAAACCCTCCCCCCCCCCGGACTTTCAGGGTAAAAATGGCAACCTACAGCAAAGCTTCGCGAGCTCCGAAAACCTAGGGGGATTACCTACAGCAAAGCTTCCTGAGGTTCTGTTTTTTTTTGGGAGGCGTGTTGGCCGCCAACTTTAAAAACTTGTTCACTTCTCAACTTGAACATCATGAAGGAGCAAGAAAACGAAACACACACAAAACAATGAAGGAACAACAAGAAAACACTACCTGGAGTCTCCAGGACCCTTAAAACATGGGGTCATTACCAAAAATCAAGGGGGTCATGGCCCTATGTTTTAAAAGGGTCATGGAGACTCCAGGTACAACATTTGCTCCTGCAAGGGGCGGTTTCTGCGGTCCGCAGGCTGCAGACCGACGCCTCTGCGCTCCGCGCCACCGGCGCCAGCGACACCCGCGCCCTGCGGTCCCTGCGCCTCGCCACGCTCAGCCGGGGACCCGTGGCGCCGGGGGAGCCTTCGGTTGCGCTCAGCGTGGCCACGCTTCGCTCGCCCGGCCGGGTTTCTTGAAATCAGCTCGTGAGTGGCTCGGCATGCGGCATGAACCAGTTTAGGTCTTAGAGGGTCCCGAGCCCACAAAAAAAAGGGGAAACATGGATGAGGCTTCAACAGGGGACCCCCAAAGTGTGGGGTTTTCTTCGGTTTCGCTAAACAAACCAAAAGGGGTACCTGAAAAGAAGGAACCGCGCCAAGCCAAAAACCACTCAACCCGACACCACATGAAATCAGCTGCTTCAGTTCGCCCAACGAAAAAAAGTTGTGCGAGGGTCTCTGGTTTTGTTTGGATGTTCTTTTTTTGTGTGTGTTTTATTTGGGGATGGCTTGGCCAAATTATAAGTCTATAGTTGGTTTCTAGTTTGTTGCTGTTGTTGATTTTGGATGGTTTAGTCAGACGAGCAGTTTTTTGGTTTTTGTTTATTTAGTTGGCTTCAGCTGGTTCTAGTTGTTTTTAGATGGTTTTGTCAGTCTAAGAGTTTTCCGTTGGCCTTTCAATTGGCTTTGTTGTTTTTATTTCGTTTCACATAGTTTTGGGAAGTTGGACTGCTTGAATACCAGGTGTCCTCGAGCGGCGCCCCGGACAGGTTCCGCCGGCTGAAGTGAGGCCTACCTGGGCCTTGTCCTTTTAATTTTTAAGCACACTGCTTGGATGGTTTTAAAGGGAAACCAAGAGAAAACCACCTTGTTGGGGAGTTCCCCTATGATGAGGCAAGCCCGGGACCTCACATGAACCTTTACCACACATGATGGAAAGGAATCGTTGTTGATTCCATCAGGTGGATGAGGTATGCTTGCTTCAGGACGACGCTCTTCTGTTTGCCCCAGTGTTGAAGTATTGCGATTTGAGTGGCTCACACTTGGACCACATACATTTTGCACCGATTCTTTTATCCCTCCACAGCATCGGTGTGATGACTACCAATCAGAAGTACCTTGGTTCGAGTGCTTGGCTTTAAGATTTGGGGGAGGCAGAAACCCCAGCCGTAGCTCACAGTTTCACTTCAATTTCGGGCGCTGCTTACAGCTTTACAGCTTCATTCAGGATTCGACCGGCTCCGGTTTTCCATATGGTTCCATGTTAAGGTCCACTTTGCGTAGATCTTCCCAAAGATCACCTTTTATGTCTGGGTCCGAACTGGGAAACTGAGACATAGCCAGGGGCACTTACGATTGTACAAGGGCACTCGCCTTACTTGTGATCCTAAAGCCGCCCGGGTCGCAGATCACGCGGTTTGGGGTTTGCTTTTTTTGGCAGACGCAATGGCGCGGCGTGTAGTGCCCGCAGTTTGTGTTGTTTTTCTCCTCTGAGGCGGTTAGTGGTGTAATCATTTGGCGCACACGCGCAGGCGAGTTGAAAGAGTTTAGGTCACAGAAACTCACAGAGAACAGACAAACACGAGGGGCTAGGGGAGTCTTCGGGTCGTAGCTGACGCGGTAAAAAGGGGGTGTAGCTTCTTCGCCAGGTCCAAGGACTTGCCTAACTCTCCAATATGATTTTGTGCGTCTCTTTTTGAGGGGGCTTTGTTTATGGATTTGAAAGGATTCCCGTTTTGTAGGGGGGCGCCTAAAGAAAACAAACCGTATGTCAAGTGATTGCCGTTTGTTAGGTTTGGTCTCAAACAAGTTGGCGGGCATGCGTCAAATAGAATTTGGGTTGTTCCCTTCAACCCACCCCAAAAAAAGTTGGTACCCTCCAAAATTCCCCCAGTTTGGGCACCCAAAGCCAAAAAAGCATTTCAGCTCCACTCTGGGCACCCAAAACAGAGAAGGAGATTTCAGGTAAAAGTCTCCACTTTGGGCACCCAAAACCAAAGAAGTTGAAATTTCCGGTGAGCGCCCCTAGGTCGGAGCCAGAAGCTGGAAGAAGAGGACCAGAAGCTGGCGGAAGAGGACCAACAGCTCGCGGAGAGGGATCAGAAGCTGGCGGAGGAGGACGCGCGGTGCAGCGAGCTGACTGTGATGTCTACAGGGCTCGACTTGGGTCCCCCGCTAGGTGCCCTCTTGAACCTTTTCTGGTTGGGAGGGTTCCCCTACTAAAATACAGGAAAAAGGGTACCATTCCAACCTCTCTACTGGAGGTGGAGGACCTAGTGGATGCCAGGGTTCTACTTGTCTGAACTGAGTTTCTTGCTGCAAGCAAGTGCGCCAGCCAGGAATCACGGTAAAATACAGGGCGATCGACTTCTTTCCTACTTGCTTCCTATTTCGAATGTTCACCGTACGCACAAGTCCCTGAAAGCTTTTCAGTGTTAAGATGCTCGGTCACTCTGTGGATGGACAATCCATTTCGCACCACTTTGAAACCATGGGAAACATTTCTTCCTTGGGAATCGCACGTGAATCGAATCATTCCGTTGGGTTTCTTAGCTGGTGCGAAATGGATCTCGTCCATCCACAGTAGCAAGTGGCACCGCAAGGAGAAATGTTTTCCTTTGGCGTCGAGGAATCCTCTCATGCAAGGGCATTTGAGATTGACGCAGCGAACGCCTCATCACGAAGCTTCGGCCAAGGTAAACCTTTCTCGCCGGAGCAAAGGCCACCCTGGAAAAGACGCACCCAAGTGACGCCTGAAGCCGATTTTGGGGGCACCCTTAAAAAATGGAAGCACAGGATTAAACAAAACCCCAGTGTATCCATTTGGGGGTGTCCCTGGTTTTAGTCGGGGGTTCACTTTTGGAGGGCCCAACTCCCTCCTGAGTAGGATACACTCTTGCTTGCAAACTGCTTTACTAACTTGTAGAGGAAAGTCGTAAACTCCATTTCCCCCTCGAAAGGTTTAGATTTGGATTTCGAGTCCCTATTTCTTGTGGGTAAATGAGGTTTCCCACCGGAACACCTGAAAACCCACCAATTAGAGAGAAGCTGAGAAGCAGGGGTTGTTCACTACTTGAGGGGTGACTTTGATGGTAAGTTCACGGGGGCAACTGTTGAAGGTGGCTTCCCTTTAAACTGCCTGGAGCGTCATTTTCAGGATGCCCCGTTCCCGTACAGTGTCTCTCTCGAAGCCCCATTTGCGGCCCTGTTCTGTCTACACGCTTGGGCGACTGGGTTGTTGTGTTATGACCGGCTGGAAATAATATCATACTGTCTGCATAATTTACGGCGAGCTCACCGATCCAGGGGTAAAACGAGCGAAAGCCATGGTAAAGGTCCTTAACTTGGGGGTCCAATTCTTATTTCAGATACGTGCCATGGTCTGTTGAGACCGGTTTCTTTGATCTCTATTAACCAGGCTCCCGCCTGCTGCCGCCGACCCTCGGCGCATTAAGGGAAAAGTCACAAGGACCGGTCCTGAAACACGTCCGCAATCCCAGGGACCACTTATAAGACCCTCTACGACCACAAAGAAGGATTAACGGAAAAGCCAGAAATATGGCAGCTAGTCCGTTAATTACCGCTTGGGCCGGCTTGCGCCCAAGTCACTTCGGGAGCAGTCGCCTCTCCCGGGGTCGCCCTGAAACTGGCCCTCCCGAAGTTGCCCTGGACCGGTCGCCGGCAGGGACCGGGACTTGGGACCCTGTCCAGGCTGGTCTCCTATTGGTCCCCTTTCCGCACGGGCCGGTTTGTGCCCAAGTCACGTTGAGCTGGTCCTAGAAACAAGGCCGTCGGTGCCCGCAGAAAGTGACTGGGACCTGCGACCCTGTCCAGTGTCCTGAAACACGGGTGCCAGTCCGGAAAGGTGTCTGGAGCGGTTTGAGGTGGCATCACAGCAGTTTGAAGTGCCAGCGACCAGGACTCGATCCGGGACCGGCGTCCTGAAAGCGGTCCTGCCCCCAGTCCCAAAACTGGTCCCAGGACCGGGTTGACCAGTCCCAGGACCGGTTGCAGGACTGGTCCCAGAAGTGACGACAAGAAATCTGAAACAACAGAAGTCCCAGGACTGGTCCCAGGACCGGTCCCGGGACCGGTCCCGGGACCGGTCCTGGAAACCAACTTTTCGTGCGTTCGGGCGTGACCATCATTGATTCCAATCACTTCCAGTTGCATCCCACGCCGGTCCCCTCTGCAGGAGGCTGGGACGGGAGGCAGAGGGTCGGCGGATTAACCACTGTCGGGAACCATGGCCATTGGCAATATAAGGAACCGAAATCATGTTTTTCAACCATGGTGTCATTTCGGTGGTGCGAGAAGCGGATTGCGCGCAACCATCCACTGCATTTCAGCTTCCCCCTCTTGAGGAGCTCTGATTTTTCAGGGAGCCGTTCCCAGGCGGCGATTTCTTTTGAATCTCATGCCCTCGGGCGGGAATCCCAGGACTGTGGCGACGGAACCCTCAAGACTTGGTGGCTCCCAGTGCGGTTCCTTGGCTGTTTGGTGGTTTTTGCTGGGTTTCGTGGCAGTTTCAGTAACTCAGCCCACTAACAGTTCAACTTTTAGCCGTGTTTTTTGCTGGGTAGTTCCCGCATGTAACCCTCAAGTTAGTCACATGTTGCGAGCTCATTTCAATGCGATGGCCCCGTCCTGGGGATCTCGCTGGTTTTGGACGTCCAGGCTGTGGATGGTTGCGAAATCCGTGGGTTCCACGCGCCACGAAATGAAACCATGGGAAGGAAACCTTGGCATTACAGGGGGAATCGAATCATTTCGTTGGGTTTCTTAGGTGGTGCGACAAGGATTTCGCACCCATCGAAGGTATGGATGTGTCTGTTTTTAGGGGACCCGCTAAAATCGATTTACTTTCCTGTTGGTGTCCCGTTTTAAAGCCACAAACAAAGGGTGGCAAGAGCCCGGATTCAATAATTTGATGCAAACAAGGCAGAATATTTCGAGAGGTTGAGTCATTCATGGGGGCTGGGGGGGGAGGGAGGGGAGGGGGGAGGGAGCTTTAGAAAAATATTAAGTGCATATTAAGCCCTTATTTTGTTGTGCTTGTTTGGGCTCCCTCCCCCTCCCTTCCCTCCCTACCCCACAAGTCACGGGGATTTCTCGCGTGCTTCTCTGTTTCTGGGGCCTCTCCAGGAGCAGAAGCTGGCGCAGAAGGAAGGCGCAAGGGATGTGCCCGGTCGCCGAAGCTGGCGCAAGGGATTTGCGGAAATGCATATTTGCTATTTCCAAATTTCTTGGGTTTAAAGGGAATCGACTTTAACTACTGGAAATATGTGTTTCTTCCAGGCGGCTTAAGCAAATGGAAGTTTCAAGTCAACTCCGCTAGGAAATGGGAGGAGTAATGTTGACCCAGGATGAATAAACCCGTCCCATGATGAGGGGGGTGTTCCCTCCAAAAGTGAAGCATCCCACTGAAAGGGGACACCCCTCTATTCATGAACCAGTTAATCCGGGGTGCCCATTATGCCCAGCCAATAAGTTGCCTAATGCCAACCCTGGATTAAATAAACCCCTGTTACTTATATATTAATAGGGGGGCCCTGGTTTAGTGGGATCTGGACCACTGATGATGGGAACATCTGGGATCAACAAAAGCAGGTTGAACACTGAGAGAATGATTAAGAGCGAGTATGAACAATACCTAGTAAGTGGGGGGTCATCCAATGGACCCGCAGCCCTCCGGGAAATCGATTCCAAGGTGTCAAATCAATCTGCAAGATAGTGGCTTCCCCTTTGCCGCTTCCCGGGTGGAGGGATCGTCCGTTTCAATTAACACAGGCAAACTCCCCCCCCCCACACCCACCCCTCAATGAATCTAGGTCCCCCCGTAGTGCCCTTTTACCAACTATTTTGGGGGAGGCTTACAGAAAAAAGAAACGGCACCCTTATTCCAACCTGTCTACTGGACCTAGCAATAGAAAGGAATGGCTTTCCAAGAGCCCAATTCCCGCAGAGCTCGGCAGAATCCGTCCCCGGATCTAAGTGGAACTTGATGTTTCCGTCGGCGTCCAGTTCCTTCCGGTGGGGGTTCCTCACTTTCGGAGGCAACGCCTCCCCCTTCGGACGGGTTGATTTGTCCGGGGTAGGGGTTTCGCCCGGGCGTAGGCGACTTCGAGCTTCGTTGTCTCAGATTGGGTTTTTTCGCCCTCCGAGAAAAAAAACAACTCCCGCGCCACAAGGGCGACGAGAAGAAACATGCGATTGCCAAAGGGAACCAACAATTTGGGTGCGTCCTTTTCTCACTTCCTGAGTTCATGAACTTTAAACTTTTTCGGAAGACCATTTTAGTGGTGAGTAGAAAGTTTGGACTTTTTGGGGCCATCCACTCAGCAAGTGGGCTTTTGTTTTGCGAGAACCCTTTTGGTTGGAACGGGACACCGTCAGACTCATTTCAACCAATTCCGGGCCCTGCCGACTGGCGAACCTTTCCAGCCCAAACTTGTGAACAGGGGGACGCCAAAAGCAAAAGGGCTACCGGAAATCGCGTTATTTTCCCGGAAAACTTGAGCAACTGGAAGAAGACACCGGCAAACTCTTGCCCCATCCCCCGGTGCCAAGCCCAGCCGAGTTTTTTTTCTCGGTTTTTGGGTTCTGAGCGTCGGCCTCGGCCCGGGAAGGTCTTTTGGCCATCGGGCCCGGATCGGTGAAATTTGGATCGTTTGACTGCTGGGCAACGGATCGGTTTTTGGCTTTTTGCCTTTAGGCCTTTTGCTTCTTAGTGTTTAGTGGTAGTTTCCATGTAATTAACCCACTACATTGGATCTTTTCGCCTCTTTGGTTGAAATCAAGTTAGGCAATGGTATAGAGCAACGGTTTTTCTTGCTCGCGCAGTATAAGACCTAACCGCACCACCCAAGTCGGGCGGGTTCAAATCCCTCCAGGCGGCTGGTTGAAATCAAGTTGTGTCTTCAACACTAAGCCCCCCAAGAAGTAAGTGGTCGACTTTTTTTTGCAGGGGGGGCGTTGCAACCAAGGATTGGAACCTCTGGCTCTTGGGGGTAAATGGGGTTTACCCCGCCACCAACGCCCCAAAGCACCGGGATTGGCAGGAAGCGTGCTGAAATGTGCGGTGCTTGTAGCACTGCTTGTCAAGGCTCAAAGAAAGCGCCCGTTGGGAAACCTCCGGGCCCCCCCTTTGGCGATTGTGAGAAGAGATTGCTGGTGCGATAGGAAGGGAATGAGGGAATGAAGCCAGGAATTGGTTCCCTGAAAGGAAACCACTAGTGAGGGGTCATTCCCACATTCCCTGATCGCACCAGCAAGTAATTTCCAACTGGCACCCGTCTTCGAAAAATGTCCAAACCAGAAGGAATCGGCTTCCCAAAGCGGCTGTCCCATAAACGCCAGAGGTTGGGGGTATGACCCCAGGCAATACCAGGGTCCCGGCTGGCTGACGCTTTGGGACGAGTTGGCAGGTCAGATCCAGTGGCTGCACGGCAAGCTCGAGGCAGCTGATCGGCGCTTTTCGCCCACCTTTCAGCTGAATGGGTGTTAGTGGGTGTCCCTTATCCACAAATTTGGAGTAAAGTTCAACTCAACATTTCTGAGGTTCCCTTTTGGATGTTCCGCAGTGCTACATCTGAATGGGTGTCCAACTCACAATGGTCAGTTCCAAGAGTAGGTCCCGCGCTGAGTTGTCCCTTGGCCGCAATGCTGGAGAGAGCAAGCAAAAAACAACAACAACATGTCCCCTTTTTCTGATAGGGCCATTGTCTACAATTCATGATGGTGATGATTATGATGATGATGATGATGATGATGATGATGATGATGATGATGATGATGATGATGATGATTGTAATGATGATGATGATGATGATGATGATGATGATGATGATGATGATGATGATGATGATGGCCGATGATAATGACGATGATGATGGAAGATGATGCTGATGATGATGATGATTATGATGATGATGCCGATGATGATGAGGATGACGATGACGATGATGATGATGATTGATGATGATGATGATGATGATGATGATGATGATGATGATGATGATGATGATACTGATGATGACGATGATGATGATGATGATGAAGATGATGATGATCATGATGAAGATGATGATGATGATGATGATGGTGGTGGTGATGATGGTGATCATGATGATGATGGTGATCATGATGATGATGATGATCATCATGATGCTGATGATGATGGATGATGATGATGATGATGATGATGATGATGATGATGATGCTGATGATGATGATGAGGCTCCAACCTTAAGCTCTAACCTAACCTCTAACCTTAACCTCTAACCCTAACCTCTAACCCTAACCTCTAACCCTAACCTCTAACCCTAACCTCTAACCCTAACCTCTAACCCTAACCTCTAACCCTAACCTCTAACCCTAACCTCTAACCCTAACCTCTAACCCTAACCTCTAAACCTAACCTCTAACCCTAACCTCTAACCCTAACCTCTAACCCTAACCTCTAACCCTAACCTCTAACCCTAACCTCTAACCCTAACCTCTAACCATAACCTCTAACCCTAACCTCTAACCCTAACCTCTAACCCTAACCTCTAACCTCTAACCCTGATGATGGCGAAGTCGATAATGATGAGATGATAGATAATGATGATGATGATGATTGATGATGATGATGATGATGATGATGGATGATGATGTGATGATGATGAGATGATGATGATGATGATGATGATGGCTGATGATGATGATGTGATGATGGTGATGATAATGATGGTGGTGGGTTGGTGATGATAATGATCGATGCCTGTTGATGATGTTGATGCTCATGATGATGCGATGATGATGATGATGGCGATGCTGATGAGATGATGTGATGGATGTTGGAGGTATGCTGTGATGACGTATGATGATGATGTTGCATGATGATGAGGATGATAATTGATGATGGATGTGGCTGACCGTATGATGATTTGAGTTTTTCGTTTTTTTTTATTTTTTTTTAGGGGGGGGCCCCGATGATGATGATGATGATGATGATGGATGATGCTGATGGATGATGATGATGACGATGATGATGATGGTGATAATGATGCCGATGATGATGATGGATGATGATGGATGATGAGGATGATGATGATGCTGATGATGATGATGATGCACGATGATAATGATGATGGTGATGTGACGATGTTGATGATGATACTCATGCTGATGATGATGATGATGCTGCTGAAGATGATGGCGGTGATGATGATGATGATGGTGATGATGGATGATGTGGATGATGATGATGATGATGATGATAAGGATGATGATGATAAGGATGATGAATGATGACATGATGATGATGATGATGACGACGATGATGATGATTATCATGATGATGCTGATGATGGATGATGATGATGATGATAATGATGATGACGCTGATGATGATGATGATGATGCTGATGATGATGATCATGCTCTAACCTTAACCTCTATCCCTAACCTCTAACCCTAACCTCTTTCCCTAACCTGTAACCCTAACCTCTAACCCTAACCTCTAACCTCTAACCCTAACCTCTAACCCTCACCGCTAACCCTAACCTCTGGTGGCTGATGATGATGATGATGATGACGATGATGATGATGATGATGCCGATGATGATGAGGATGATGATGATGATGTTGACGATCATGATGATGCTGAGGATGATGACGATGACGATGATGATGGTGATGATCACGATGATGCTGGTGAGAATGATGATGATGATGGTGATGATGACGATGTTGATGATGATACTCATGCTGATAATGATGATGATGATGATGATATTGATGATGGCGATGATGATGATCATAATGATGATGATGATGATGATGATGATGATGACGATGATGATGATGAATGGTGATGATGATGATGGTGATGATGATCATAATGATGATGATGATGTTCATGATGAATGATGATCATAATAATGATGATGATGATGCTGATCATGATGATGATGATGATGATGAGGGGGATGATGCTGATTATGATGATGATGATGGATGATGATGGTGATGATCACGATGATGCTGGTGAGAATGATGATGATGATGATGATGATGGTGATGGATGATGATGATGATGCTGATGCTGATGATGATGATGATGATGGTCATGATGATGATGATGATGGGGATGATGCCGATGATGATGGTCATGATAGATGATGATGATGGATGATGATGATGATGATGATGGTGATGATGATGATGATGATGATGATGATGATGTTGATGCCGATGAATGATGATGCTGATGGTGATGATGCATGGTGAGGATGATGCTGATGAGGATGATGATGACACTGATGATGATGATGATGATGATGATGATGATGATGATGATGCTTTCGTTGCCTATCTTATCTGGACACTTGTTTTAATGTTGGGTGATCTTCATTCGGGTACTCTTTTCTTTGATCCAAGATTTCGAGGAGATCCAGTCCATCTTTTATTACACCTTAGAGTTACTTCTGTCTTCTTCTTTCTTCTCTTTTTGCGAATCTCGCCAATTAATAATAATAATCATCATCATAATGTTTACCTCGTACCGCGAATTCTTAAAACAACATTTAACACAACATCAACAATAAAAGCACATTGGGGGTCGGCGGCATCAGGCGTCAGCCTGCTTAATAAACAGGGGCTGATTAATATGGGGTCAACAGTAACACTCTTCATGGACGAAATCCTGCACCTAAGAAACCCAGGAATGAGGATTATTCTGCGAAAACCAACAAACAATGGATTCCCATGGTTTCAAAGTGGTGTAGGAATTCGTCCTCCGTCCACAGAATGGGCGTGCGCGGCAACCCCGCCCCCCCTCCCCCCCCGTTTCTCTGGGCTGTTTTAAAGGGATTTGAAAACCCGATTTAGGTGCTCCCCTACTTTTGACACACATAATTACCCAAAATTACTTTCATGGGTCAAATGTATCTATCTATGTATCTATCTATCTGTGTATATATATTATAACATGGGTTGTGTGGGGGTTCTAGGGGCCAACACCTGATCGTTTGAAAAACTTTGCAAATCAAACGCCAACTTTTGTTCTTGTTCTTTTGGGGGGGGGGAGGGGTTAGGATCCCAAGTTGCTTTTGGTTGTGGAAAGCAACCAGCATTTCCATCCCCACTTCGCTTTGAAGGAGACGCCCCAAAGATAGGTTTTGCTTGGCCACCTCTGTTTGGTTCTTGGGTAAGCCTAGGAAGCCACGGTTCCCAGGTTTATGACCCGGTTAAGCAAAGATAGGTGGCCAAGTGGCGGTAACAAAGAAACTTTCCGTGCTTCAAAATGAGATGCCTCTAATCCATGGTACTCACAAGGAACACCCCCACCATCTGACATAAGGACTAAGACAGAAATGAATCACCCAATTGCGACCGTGAGGTCAAGGAAACGGACTCACCTTAAAGTCCCTCGCATCTGCTGCCGAAATGGTGACATATATGGTGACACAAACAAAATGCCTCCAAATCCGAGCACACCGCCCATGTTCACACACCATCGCCAAGGAACCCCTGTAAGTTCCTGCTCACTGGGCAAAGGCCAGTAGTATAGGCGCATGTGTAGAATGCCTATGGGTCTATTTTTTAAAGTTCTGTCATGGAAGCCAAAAGGAACCCCTAAACTTTGCGGGGTGCTCTATTTTGAGACAACAAATGATTTCAATCACGCCCTGTGTTGGGCAATGCCGCTAGAACCACGATGGCAAGCAAAAAAGGCAATGCAGGAACACCACTGTTGCAACAATCTATGTGCAATAATTATCCATGTCAAACTGTCCGCTCGCTTGCGGCGCTCTCTTTAGTGCGCCGGTGAATGGCCGACTGGACGTACAACACGCACGACATCCACAGCAATGCCACATGTTCCACAACCATGTCCATGAGACAGCACAAGTTACCACCACATGTCCGTGATGGGCCGGGCCACAATTGCGCATTGCCCCAGCGACTTCAACCAGGAGCCAGCTTCCTCCTCGCTCAGGAGGCTTACCAGAACCTCACATGTCGGGGTGAACGAGAGCAGGCAGTGCCTTGCTCTGCATGCCTGAACCACAAACGTGGATTAGGCGGTGACCTGCTCAACTAGGTCCTCCAGTAGAGAGGTTAGAATAAGGGTACCCCTTTGTCTGTAGTCTACTTTAGAAGGGGAACCTTTCCCCCAAAAAAGGAGAGAGAAGGGCACTACTGGAAGACCTAGTGAATGGCGCTGGCATTGCCTTAAAAGTGTGTTCCATGCTTGTGAGCCATTGCTCAAACTTGACAACGCCAATGGCCTGGATGGCAATGGGGGCGACAGCAGCGGCAGTAGCAATACTCCTAAACTCCTTGTGTCGTCATGGTCCTAGCTCCCTTTTTGGAACTTATACTTACAATGCATTGAGGAGTTGATGACGATCCCGACTAACCCTCCGTGAAAGGTTGTGTTTGACCATGTTGAACGATAATGGAAATTGTACGTGAGCATACTGCAGCTCAGGTGTTTCTCACACACTATTGCGCATG